CCTCAGAACACCATGATGATTTACGCTACCTGCTTAAATCTTTAAACCAAGTCTATTATTCCATAAAAAAGTAATCCTTCCAGTGCGCGGTGTCAGACCCACTGGTGGGTCCACTTTGAGCACCGAGCACTAGACCCAGCTTAATCCCAGTGCATGCCTATTTCACTTCAGCAAAACTCTCCGGGTGGATTTTACTTTTGAGTTAGTTTTACGGATTTGTGTTTTCTGATTCTTTTAATAAGTCCTTATTGGCTATGTTTTTAAAATAAATGAATAAAATGTGTGTACTTTGCTGTGTGTGAATATGGGTGTATCGCTTCTTGAGAAGATTTAAAAATAAATGAGTGAATAAAATGTTGATTAAAAATGAAGACTGGGGCCAGCAAGGAAAGCTAAGAGAAAGAAGGGAAGAAAAAAACAGAAAGAAAGAAGAAAGGAAGACGTAAGGAAGAAAGGGGGGAAGGAAGAAAGAAAAGGGGAAAAGAAGAAAGGTTGAAGGAACCAGGATTCCATTGCCCAGAGAAGATAAAGATAATTGGACAGTTTACTCCAGGCAGGTGCTTTCTCCAGCCTATGGCACGTGGTGAGACAATATTCACGTCGAACGGATAACATTGAATTAAGAAGGGAGCTGGTGCTGATAGAAGCACTAGATGTTCTTGGTGCCCACAGGAGCCTGAGCAAGCGCTTTCTGTTAAGGCAGGAGAGAAGTTGGTCACTTCGTGGAAGAATTCAACAAGCAGTTGAGAGAACAGAGAGCTTTGGAATGATGAGGTTCTGATGGAGACCATGCAGCCTGTGTCCTAGAGGCTTGGCCCTTCTGCTCACCACAGGCGGCCAGATCGTCTCCCAGTGCCCCTTCCACGCCGTCCGTGAATTGAGGGCAGGAGTCTTGGTGATGCTCAGAGTCAGAACATTGGGGGTACCTGACAGCCCACTCCCCTCTTCTTCCGCATGAGGAAGCAGACGCCTGCATGGGTGAGGGATTCTGACTCCTGGGCTAGGCCAGGAGTGAGAGAGAAGTCAGAGCAGCTGAATGAGGGGAGGTTGCCAGGGAGGGATCTGGAAATAACTTCAATATCCCCAAAGCTAGTTGGTTTTTCTGGAATCCCATAATTCCTGTCACTGAGTCACTTTCTCCCTAAACCATGCACCTTCAAACTGCCATTTTGTACACATAAATTCCAAGGGCCGGGATTGAGGGCAGAGCAACACAGGCCACCTGGCTTCACATCCTAGCTCTGTCGCTTACAGCTGTGTGACTCTAAACAAGTAAACAGTACCTCTGGACTTCATTTTCTCCAACTGTAAAATGCGGAGGTGGTTGTGAGGTAAATAAGATAAGGCATGCCATGGGTCTAGTACAGGGACTGGGGCATAGAATAAGAAATGTTTGGGTATTGTTACCAATCAATGAGCATTTAATAAACACCTTGTACTGTGCTAATTACTCTAGATCAGCCGTGGGCAAACTACGGCCCTCGGGCCGGATCCGGCCCGTTTGAAATGAATAAAACTATTGAAAAAAAAGATGTAATGATGTTTACTTTGAATTTATATTAGTTCACACAAACACTCCATCCATGCTTTTGTTCTGGCCCTCCGGTCCAGTTTAAGAACCCATTGTGGCCCTCGAGTCAAAAAGTTTGCCCACCCCTGCTCTAGATACAAAGCAAGATCTTCATGGCCAAAGTCAAGTAGATAATTCGGGCAAGAGCAAATATTTATTCAGTGCCTAACCCCATTTTTTAGTTCAAATAATCAATACCAAAGTCAGTATTCTCTGTGCCTGGGAGAGCCCAGGCTCCATCAGCTCAGCCCCATGGAGGGAGCACTTAGGACAAGACCCTGTGATTGAGCCCTGCATGAAGACCCAAAATTGTTGGTTTCGGCCTTTGAGTGACACTTAGTCTAATTCATAACTTCAAGAGCCCTTAATTAGTTGAGTATAGTCCCTGCCCATCAGGCAATTCAAATGCCAACCCAGGCACTTTGCACTTGAAATGCCAGTGAGGCTCAGAGAGGGGTGTGGTGCTGGCAGCTCTCTGCACAGCAGAAGTCAGAATTCTCTGCAAGAGATTCCCTCCCTGTTTTCCTGGGCATCCAAATACCCGCCAGAAGTGGGAGGGGAGGGTTAAACAGGGACTCTTGTATATTACTTATGGCAACATAAATGGCTCCCCCAAAGGCAACAAGCCCCCCACCTCTCTTTCTCTCTCTTTCTCTTTTTAATCCTTATTGGATATCCTCAATGGGTATTTTTCATTGACTTTTTTTTTTAAGAGAGTAGAGGGGAGAGAGGAAGAAATAGAGAGAAACATCAATGTGAGAGAGAGATGTCGATTGGTTGCCTCTTGTTTGCACCCCAACTAGAATCAAACCCAAGATGCTCTAACCACTGAGCACCACTCTTTTTGTTTACTTTTATATATATATATAATTGGAGATTCACATGTATTCGTAAGAAATAGTATAGAAAGGTCCCGATTCCCTTCTCACAACTATAGTATAGAACAGTTTCTCAAACAGGAAGTAGACAAAATACAATCCGCCAACCTTACTCCTTTTACATCAGTTTTAGGGCCGTGTGTGTATGTGTGTGTGTGTGTGTTTCTGTGCAATTTTATCACACGTGTAGATTCATGTACACACTATGGTAGTCAAGATACTGAGCAATTCCTCCTGCCCTTCTCCCACCCCACTGTCCACAACCATTAATCTGTTCTTCATCTCTCTAATTTGGCCATTTCAAGAATGCTACATAAATGGTATCTTACAGTATATAATCTTTTGAGACTGGTTTTTCTTTCTTTCAAGCGTCATTTCCTTGAAATCCACCCAAGTTTTTGAGTGCCTCAACAGTTTGTTCCTTTTTGTTGCTGAGTACTAGTCCATGATATGGATGTACCACAGTTGCTTTATTCATTCACCTGCTGAAGTATATTTTGTTGTTTTTTCCAGTTTGGGGCTATGAGAAATAAGGTTTTTGTGTACTAGTAAATATACACTTTTATTTCTCTGGGATTAAATGCCCAAGAGTGCAATTTCTGGTCTGTATAATAAACAGAGATTTAGTTTTGTTATGAGGTTTTCCAGAAGGGCGGTACCGTTTTACACCCCCCCACCACCCCCGCAGCAATGTATGAAGGATCCAGTGTCCTGTCCTCTGTCAGCATTTGGTGTGATCACTCCTTTTTATTTAACCATTCTTGTAAGCATGTAGTGATATCTCATTGTGGCTTTAATTTGCATTTCCCTGATGGCTAATGACATTGAACATCTTTTCATGTGCTTATTTGCCATCTGCGTATCCTCTTCCTTGCAAAGGCTGACGTTGTCTTTAGCCCATGTTCTAATTGGATTGCTTGTTATTTTACTGTTTCGTTTTGAAAGCTTTTCATAGATTTTAGATATGCTCTTTGTCAGGTACGCGGTTTGCAAACATTTTCTCCTAGCCTGTTTATCCTTTCTTCTTCCTCTCGGGGTCTTTGAGGAGCAGACACTTTTCGCTTTGATGAGGTCCAATTACCAAGTTTCCCTTTTCCAGGTTATGCTTTTGGTGTCGAATGTAAGCCCTGTAAGCCTCGTCCTTGGTCCTGATGATTTTCTCCTGTGTTTTTTTTTCCCCTAAAAGTTTTATAGTTTCATGTCTTACAGTTAGTTCTTTGATCCACTTGAGTTTATTTTTATGTAAGATGTGAGATTTACATCAAGATTCACCTTTTCGCTTGTGGATGTCCGGTTGCTCCAGCGCCATTTAAACAGCCCTTACTTGAAAAGCAACTTGGTGATATTTATCGCGAGCCTAAACAATGCCCATAGCAGTTTTTCCTGTCATTTCCCGGAATTCACCCTAAGGAATTAATGCAGAAACATGAATAAAATCTATAAGCTTTAGATTTTAGTCACTATACCATTTTTTTTTATAAAATTGAAAAATTGGAAGTAATTTAAATGCCCCCAGATAAGGAATTGATTAAATAGGGCACACATTGAATAATTTGCAACAATTAAAAATATATTTGCTCGGCCCAGCTAGTGTGGCTAAGTGGTTGAGCATTAACCCATAAAGAGGTCACTGGTTCAATTCCTGGTCAGGCCACATACCCAGGTTGTGGGCTCCATAAACTAAGGGCAAAACAGGACACAAACTTGTATGCACATGTGACTAAAACTGTGTTAAAACACATGCATGTGGAAAAAGAACATTTATCATTGTTTTAGGATGATTGGATCAAGGGCCATTTTTGTGGTTGTTTTCCATCCTCTATTTTCCATACATCCCATAATAGCAACGATAAAGAGAAAAATTTCTATTGAGAAATAGCTTCTTGCCATGAAAAGGTTAGGACTATCCACTTGAAGAGATGACAGGTACACGTCCAACCCAAAGGTCACGGAAAAGGCCACCACAGTTAGGTTTGCCAAGGCCTAGCTAAGTCATTCAGTCAGCGAGGATCGATGGGCATCTGCAAGGTGACCTGTGCCACGTGATGTACTCAGCAGGCTTATTTAAGAAGAGACCGTCCCTGACCCCTGAGACACTTGGAAGGAACTCTAATCTCATCTCCCTCGCCCTCATTCAGGCTTCACTCTTTGCAGCTTGTGCATCCACTCATAGGACCCTCTTAACCAACCTGCACAGTTGTTAGGGAGGATGTCCTTATCCCTATTTGTCAGACAGTAAGCCACAGATTGCTTAAGTAATCGCCCAAGGCCAAACAGATCATAAATGGCAGGCCTGGGGTTTAGGGGCCTGGTCTTCTACCTTTAAGGCCAGTACTGCTCTCAGAATACCACCACTGCCCAAGAGCAGCTGTGACAACAGTGGGCTCAAGGCAGCAAGCAATCGGCAGTTGGTCATGAAAATTCAAACCATGTTGATGAGAAAGCATATACCTAGGGCTGGGCATGGGCTCCTGTCCCCTGGGGCTTGGGGGTTGAGGCAGCAAGGGGATGTGATATAAACACCTGGGCTCACCTCTCCTCCCTCCCCGCAGATGGTGAAGGCAATCCAGGTCCTGAGAATCCACCTGCTGGAGTTGGAGAAAGTCAATGAACTCTGCAAGGACTTTTGTAACCGTTACATCACCTGCCTCAAAACCAAGATGCACAGCGACAACCTGCTCAGGAATGATCTCGGGGGGCCCTACTCCCCCAACCAGCCCTCCATAAATCTTCACTCACAGGTAACCGCAGGCCGGGGTCCTACCTCCTAGGCCTTAGGAGAAGCCAGATGTAGGAATGTCCGAAGGTCCCGGTGACGTAGGACAATGGATTAGACTCATTGGATCCTTTCCCCGGGAGGCTCCTACTCTGGTCAACTCTTCCTCCTCTTCATCAAGCACCACAGTCCCTTTCTGACCAGTGCTCACCACGACAGAGCAGTAGTGATGCCTAGAAGGTAACCAGAGCTGAGAGAGACAATGTGATTGTGATACCTGGCATCTTGGCTGAGGAATGAGCATAAGAGTTAAGTAGATGGAATACTTTCCTGGAGGGTGAGGCAGGGACAGAGGTGGTAAAGGGCCCAGCCCAGCCCATGGACTTCTCGAGAAGGCTCACTGAGCTCCTGGTTTCCTGGGAGGAGTGTTTGGGGAGGTGGTCCTGAATCCTGCCCACCTAGTAGATGAAGACTGCTTCCCCTGAGGCGTTTCTCCCTGGTCATCCTCCCCAGGCCCATCTGTCTCCCTAAGGTTCAGGGCCACTGTAAATGTCACCTCAAGTCACCTTCATCCTAGGAACTGGGGAATGTGGAAACAGTGGCTGTGTGTTCAGGGTGAGAATGGGCAGAATATTTTCCCAGAACTACAAACTGAGAAAGCTGCCTGGTGAAGCCTTTCCATCATACTCACTGGTACCCACATAAGCCATAGGCTTCCCGATTTCTTCCTCTCCCACCGAGTTCCAGAGTCCAGGACAGACCCATGGGAGGGTCCCCAGGAGGTTTACAGTGGCCTCTGCTCATAAGACAATCAGGCTTGGGGACACAGGTAAAACTTCCAAGAATGATTGGTGGGAGGAAAAAAGAATGATTAGTGAGAGGAACTGGAAA